GCATTCAGTTTTTATTCACAATTTGTTCAGTGTCCCAACTTTTTTGGAGTCCAGTTTGTAGTTAGCGTGCTTGGTAAAACTGTCTTGCCAATACTTTTTAGTATTATAGATATGCTTTCTGTAAACCGAGCGTTGAGACACGATATTAGCTTAAAGACGAAAAAAGGTTATTTGTTTAATTGTTTGAGTATTTAAGGTTCAGTGTAGTTCTAGAAACACAATAATTAAAAAAAAAAAAAGGTTTCGCTTAAAGGTTCAAAGGTGTTTAATATTTTTGTTCAAATGTTTAGTTTAAACTTCCTTCAATTTTATTGATTAAATACAATTTTTTATCAAATTTTGAAAAAAAAAAATCTTTACATTTGAGAAATTCAGAGGCCGGAGGGAGATTGTTGTCCATGTCTGTGCAAGAGGGACATGGAAGGTTTTGCACATAGTGAGAGCTGCTATGATCTACGGTTTGGTGATGGTTATACTAACAAAAAGACAGGAAGTGGCGCAGGAAGTGGCGCAGGAAGTGGCACAGGAAGTGGCACAGGAAGTGGCGGAGATGAAGACAGTAAAGGTTTATTTTAGATGGACCAAAATGGGCAGGCTTAGAGTATATCAGAGGAACAGTTCAAGCTGAGAGGTTTGTAGAAACAAGGATGAGACAGTTAAAACATGCAGAGGAAGAATAGAGGACGTATTGGTCAAAGATGAAAATGAAGCTGTCATGGAGGAGAAAAAGAGAAAACCCACAAAGGAGGATGTAGTATGGAGGATAAGTAGTGATGGTGAAGCAGAAGAGGGTGTTAGAGTGAGATGGTGGCAGAAGCTCCACTGTGGCGACCCCTAAAGAGAGCAGCCAAAAGAAGGTCACGATGTTCTTTCAACACCAGACACAAACAGAACAATGGACAGAAGATGGAACACAGCCTAAATAGGTCGGCACGTTTTAAATCATTTATGATGAATCACTTTCTCAACCTCCCCTCTAAATCATTGATTCGAGGGTTAAAAGAGGCCAAACTGTTTTTCCACGTGTGCGTCTAAGTTGGAAGCGAGGGATTTGCAGAGCGTGCACTTGGTAACACTTTAGGCCTCGACTGTTAAGATACAACAGATGGATCCCTGTTAAAAAAAAAAAAAAAAAAACTTACCCAGTGTTGTACTTCTGCACAAGCTGTAAAGAAAAATAGGCTTTTATTAATTTTCACACAAACGTATCAAACGTGCATCTTATTACCAGTACGCAACTTGGGACAAACACGAGAAACTTGTTTCACTTATTTATTGTGGATAATTCAGTTACTGCTGATATTTATCTGATTGTTGTACTTTTTTAAAATTTATTTTGACATCAAATTAACTGTGAGAGTGCGTTAAAGGTCTTCAGAACCTAAGCATCAATTACAAATATTTTTAGCAGTGATGACTTGACGCAGCTGATTTATTCATCATAAAATTTTTGATTAAAAAAAAAAAAAAAAAAGATCAAACTGCTCACACGGTCCTGATGTTGCAGATAAAGATTTTTTTAAAACACAATAAAATGTTGTGAAAAAACTCTTTCTGAGGCGCTTTAATGTGACAGACCACTAAATGAGACACGCTGCAGACACAAGCGCTTTGAAACCAAAGCTGGATGCGCTTTGCCTCAGAAAGTGATTGAACCCACAAAGAACGCGCTCTGACATGATGTCACGCTAACCACACTGAGAAACAATGCTACAAAGCTGTTACAGAGAACATCCAGGAGCTTTGAGGTTGAAACAAGCTCCTGCACAATCTTTGGATGAAACATGGACACTTCCTGTAGTTGAAACTTGTGTTTTCTTGTTCATGTGCAAAATCTCATTTATTTGATGCAGCTGAGAGTTTTTTTTTTAATGTTTTATTTGTTTATTCATCTGAAACTGCAAAGTAGTTCTGTTATGCGGCTTGTAGACTACAACTACTGCTACCGCTGCTTATTTCTCTCCCCCCATTTGACAAACTGGTTATTTTGTGGTCTTATCTTGGCTCTTTCCTCAGCTGATAAGTCAGTAAAGAAGGTAACGTCACGCTACAGCCAGTAAAGCCTGAAGCTTCAGCAAGAGATAAATGTCACTGGTGCTGCACCAGTTTCAGCCTCTCACTCAGAACAAGAACAGGTGAGATGAAATAATTACGGACCTTTTTATAGATACCAGTAAGCGCATGTGAAGTCAGACACCACGTGCCCAAATAAATCCATAGTTACTTCCAGTAGCTCCAGTAGAAATTATTGGTGAGATACCAACCATTGACAAGTGATAAGATGATGTCCCCCATCTCCGAAGGATTTGAATGTTTGTATTTGTGGGGATGAGTGTTTTTCTGGACTGGAATTGAACAGGAAGAGCAAGAAATTCAAGCAGGTATGAGTTAAAGTTTGTGAAAGAACAGAAGTCTTTTGTTCTTGTCCGAGGCGGCGCAGAGTGACGGATCCTGGCGAGTGGAGGGAGCAGTTTTATCCACCGTCAGGTGCAATGGTGGAGCCACGGGGTGCTAATGGTGACCTTGGCCACCGTAAATTAATCTTCAGCCACCTCAGTCATTTGTTAAAACTCTACTTTTAAGCAATAGAAAAAAAAATTAAATAAATAGAAAGTGTAGTTTCAAATAGACTAGATAGATAGATTAGATAGATTCACCTCTTTACCACACTCCCCATTTTCCTGGACAGTGAAAGTCCAGTAAAATGGGTAAGTACTTTAAGTCCTGCACCTCTAGGTTCTCTTCCACTTGTTCCCTGTTCTCACCACAGATCACAATATCATCTGCAAACATCATAGTCCACGGAGATTCCTGCCTGACCTCATCTATTAGTCGGTTCATCACCAGACCAAACAAGAAGGGGCTCAGAGCCGATCCTTGATGCACTCCCACCTCCACCTTGAAGCTGTCTGTCACTCCACATCTCACCACTGTCCTGTACCAGTCTAACATACTTCTCTACGACTCCAGACTTCTTCATGCAACACCACACATCCTCCCTTGGCACTCATATGTTTTTTATATCTCCACAAAGACACAATGAAAGATCCAACTTTTCTAACATTTACGGCAATTTCCACATCTGGCTATCCAAACTCTAAATGGCTTCCACAGCTAATTGCTCTTAACCAACAAATGGAGTAATTTACAACACATCCTTTGAGCACTAACAGACTGTATCTGTGTGTGAGATTGTACGTGACAATATTTGAAGATTCAAGAATAATCTGAAATGGCTGTAACTATGTCCCTACTCATGTTAAGATCATTTTAGTAAAATAAAAAAATAAAAAACCTCAGGTAGGAAAGGTGGCAGACAGTAAACATTACTTCAAAAAATGCTCTGGACCTTCTTCTTCCCCAGCTGGCCACTTGCTGACATAAAGTCGTGTTTTGACTCTTGCAAAACAAAACATTTTAGAACAACTATTTGCAAAATTTGAGGTTCCCTGTGTTTTGTTTTCCTTTTTGCTCAAATTCAAGAGGCAGAACAGTTCAGTTTGTCTGAGTGATGTAGTTGCAAAGTTTAACCACTAAGGGGCAATGTTTAGTTAATTTTCTTTTGAAAATACATACATAAGTGTACACAAAAGTGTAACGAAGTGTTTTAGATAATGCAACTAAATGCATTTAGTTGGAACATGTCTTTTTCATTCATAATCTCATTATTACCCCGGCCCCGACAACATCAAAAATTGTGGGTGGGGTAGGTGAAACACCCACACTTGCCCCCACCCTCATTCGCCCCACTCTGGGCCCATGAGCAAGGCCCTTAACCCCACCATGTGCTCCCTAAACAGGTCTCTCTTGCAAATGAGTTCTCGTGGCTCAATGAGACTAACCTGGATAAATAAAGGCTAAATGAAAAAAAAAATGAAAAAATTATTATTATTATTATTATTATTATTATTATTATTATATTGTTGTTGTTGTTATCATTGTTATTATTATTATAGTTGTTTTTGTTATGAAGTGCCGTGCCCGTGATGTAAACAAAAAAGAAAAAGTTAAAAAAAAATATATATATGGTTTCTTGTTGTTAACTGAGTTGTACGTAATGACGTCATTCCAGGATTATCTGTCGATGAGCGACTAATCGAACACGAGAAACGGAAGTGGCAAACGGGAGAGAACAGACTAGAGAACATTTGTGTGAAGTTAGTTCGCTAGCCTTAACTTGTGTCACCGCAGACTGAAGAGACAAACTGCAATTTCTAGAAGAAGTAATCCTGTATTGGACCTTACGGAGTTCGTTAGTCCTCCCGGACTAACTGGTGTCTTTGTCTTTGTGTGAAGACGGGAACAAAAAGTGCCAGGTAACGTCACCAACACATGAAACAAACGTGCGTGCTAATGCTAGGTTAACAACCAGAACAGTGAGTGCAGTTGCGCCTGCTTCTAAATTTAGTACTTTACGTGTAAGTAAAACAGTGATAATGTTTCATAAGTCAACTTTAGTTAGTTGTCTAATGGGACCGGACCGACCAGCGCCAGCTACTTGTAGCCGAACTGTTAGCTTCTTATTTCGGCTTCTCTCTCTTCAGGGTTAGTTACAGCGAGTCATCCTCCACCTGTCCTCTGTGTCCTCTGTGTCCTCTGTCCTCACTTCAGCTACCTCTATGTCCTCTCTAACTGCATCCATATATCTCCTCCTTGCCTTTTTCCTGCCAGCTGCATTTCTAACATCCTTCTACCAATATACCCAATGTCCCTCCTCTGGACATGTCCAAACCACTGTCCCTCCTCTGGACATGTCCAAACCATCTCAGTCTGGCTTCTCTAACTTTATCTCCCAGTTGTTCAGCCTGTGCTGTACCTCTGATGATCTCATTCCTAATCTTATCCATCCAAGGTGAACCCTAACATCTTCAGCTCTGCCACTTCCGGTTCTGTCTCCAGACCATAGCTGCTCTCACCTCTGTCCTGTAAACTTTTTTCCTTTGACCTTTGCTGACACCCTTTTGTCACAAATCACTCCTGAAACTTTTCTCCATCCACTCCATCTTGCCTGGACTCTCTTCTTCATCTCTTTACAATACTATTTTCGTGGACAGTGGACCCCAAGTACTTGAAGTCCTGCACCTTTGTGACCTCTGCTCCTTGTAGCCTCACTGTTCCACCTCCTCCCTCTCATTCACACACGTGTGCTCCGTCTCTTCTTTCAAGTGCATACCTCCACCTCTCCAAGTTCTCTTCCACCTGTAATACATCATGGATTCTGGTGCTCTTTACTTGAAGTCACAGTCTTGTTTAGTTTGCAAATAGTTCCATTCTGGCAATTGGGTTCTGTTTATTACGGTACACGCCCTGTTGAAATATTATTAATTGTGCTTTTAACAGATTTAGTTACACTTTTATTGAGCCCAGCAATGTAAAACCTAATCAATGATTTCAACTAACAAAAGCTACTCCCAGTGACACCAAATGAACTTGTTAGAAATATTTCTAAACGTCAGTGTGTCTGTAAATGAGCCTTTAATGTTTAGATTTCAATGTTAGCAGTGCCAATTGCTTCTTTCTGTAAATGTTCCAGACAACCTGATAGGGAACCAATTTGAAATGTTGTAATGATGCACATTGTCTGTAGAAACTCATCTATCGAGATTAATCCTCAAAAATGACTAAAAATAGCAGTTTGACAACCATAAAATAGAATATTTTCTAGTAACTAAAGGTTTTTGTGGCTGTCAGGTTAGTGTGCAACATGAAGGAGTCTGAGGAAAGTGAACAGTGTGAGCACAAATGGAGGAGAAAAAAGACAGAGCCATGTCAGTTTAGTAAAGAACTGAGCTACAAATAAAGTTGCAACTCATTTCACTGCTGGTTTGTATGTACAGAGGAAAATAAAGCTGCCTTTTATTAAATCCACTGAATGCTGGGTCATAGTTTTGTTTACAGTGATATTTTTAAATGAACATGTAAAAAGTGTTTTATTATTTAGAAAACATACTGATCCCAATCACATGATCAACTAAAAGCCTGCTTTTATAGAAAACATTATTACTCATGGATGTATCCTTCCAGACCTCGAGATTATTAAAGCTGCGTTCATTTTCCTGTTTTCTAGCTAAATATATGTAAAAAGATTAATTTAATTTATAGGATTTAAAAAACGCCTCAAGTTCTCGCAGTAATAACAAAGATATATATATATATTTTTTTTTAATTTAAAGATGCCATTTATGTATTTAATGTAAACTTACAATAAAGATTTATTTAGGCTGTTGTGCATGTCCCTCTGATATTGTTGTGGTTCTGTCCGCCAGGATGGATCCGGCTTTGCTCAGAGAGCGGGAGCTGTTCAAAAAGCGAGCGCTGTCCACGCCAGCTGTAGAGAAGAGACCGGCTGCGTCTGATTCTGGCTCACACAAGAAGAAGAAGCACAAACCCGACAAGGAGAGCTCCTCTGGCTCCAAACACAGCACTGGTATGTTCAGTGTACTGTCCTGGCCCAGTTCAGCACGGTGTCAGTACACGTGCGTCTTCCTTGTAGCTACAGGTCCGTTACATTAAAAGGATTCAGAGCATAAAGGCCACAACACTGCTGACTGGCACCTTTTCATTTGGTGATCTCCACCAACGTGACCACCTTTAGCTATCTTAAAGCAGCAAATAAACAACAATGGCCTCCGTTGTTTATTGTTTACATCCTGCAAATATGAAACTTCTGTTTGATTCTCTGGTGGGACGCTTTGCGAAATCCTCTTGATAACAGGTTGATACTTGATACATTTGCACATATGAGAGAGACTCAGGTCCCTGTTAGGTTTCAGTAAAAACAATCTATTTGTCACTTTCAGTTTTTATTGTTAACAGAAATATACATATAAATGGCAATAAAAGGTCAGTTATTGTGACCGCCATCTTGAATCGGGTTGACTCCAAAGGTTATTCATAATTCAGATTAATTATAGAAGTACACCCAATGATTACGCTCTGAAGTTTCCACTAAAATTTGTTCAGTGGTTCATTGGTTATTTTACTAACAGACACGGGGTTGACTTAGTTAAAGCCAAGGCTTTAAGCAGATGTTCAATGTATAGAGCTTAAAGTATTTGTTGTGAATTAGTCTGTTACAAAATCAGTTTTTAGCTAAAAATCTGTGCAATTAATTGAGTTACAATCATTTTTGTATTTTCTAACAACAGTTGGCTGTGGCAGCCATCTTTAATTAGGTCAGCTTTAAAGTTAATCAGCTGTAGCTGAACAGCCAGTGAGTAATGTCTTAAAATTTCATTCCCTTCTGTCCAGTGGTTCATTAGATATTTTGCTAACAGACCTAGAGCGACGAGTTAGCCCTCAAAAGTTTTGCAACAAATCTGTAAAATTGATTTACAGTAGTCCCTCGCTATTTCACTGTTCGTTTATCGTGGACTCGCTCTATCGTGGTTTTTCAAAATAAGGTTGGACGTGACACACAATTGGCTGATTGATGGATGAGCTGCACGAGGCATGGAATTTTTATTTAAAATAAATTATTGTAAATTATTTATTTATCACATTTGTGCAGCTGATCAGCTGTTCTCTGTGCAGAGCAGAGAAGTGGGCGTGGCCAAGAGCGCTGGCAGGTGGCACAGTGCAGAGGAGGCAGAGAGCTGACATCATGACATGCTGTGCTCATTTAGAGTGTTTAGAAACATTGTTTAGAATATTGCAAGAGGTGGGAAGGGTTTAAAATGCCTTAATGTGCTAACCTGTTTAAATAAAGCTTGAATGAATGAAATATAGAAATATATATAATAAAACTACTACTTACTACTTGTACTACTATTCCTACTTATTACGGGTCTTCAGGGTACTGATCCCCCGTGATAAACGAGGGACTACTGTATAGCCATTGTTGTGTTTGCTAAGGTTGCTGAAGTGTAGCGGCCATCTTGACTGCAAAAGTTAATCAGCTGTAGAAATGAATCCAATAAATCTGTTCCGTGGTTCAGAAGATGTTTTGCTAACACGACAGACAAGGAAACCCATGCAGACGTGAGCAGAATCGTGATTGCCCTCCTGCTTGTAGCAGTGGTCTGTAATGGCGAGTGTGCAGGTTGGTGCTCGATGGCACTCAGGAAGACGTTTCTCGTCAAACAGACCCTGAGCTGCAGAGTGTGTGTGTGTGCATGCCCACTCTAATGTTCTGCAGCCGTCTTGGCAGCTTTTCAGCTATGTAGATTGCAATAGGTTGCTTAGCAACAATTTTTTACCATGTGCATCATTTTGACACTCGCTGGTGGAACCAGTTGTCGGTAATGGCAGAATTTACAGAGCTTCCCTTTTCAGCGAGGCGCCATGTTGGTTATACGAACAGAAGGAAATGTGCTGCGTCAACGTTGTTTTGACAAACATTCATGATTGTTGCATGTCACTTTGCACCATAAAGATTTAATAACCCAAACAACAAACAAAACTGCACTTGAAGGCATCGTTGCTCAACGGTGGAAACGGGAAGTTGCAGAGATTTTGGACAACTGAGTGATATTTATTGCCCATTGTTGAAAGGTGGACAGAAGCCAACACAGAAATGGCTTAAACTCAAATGTTGTAATAAGATGTGATGAGTTAGCAGCTGAGTCAGTCACTACACATACTCTGAGTGACATCTTGACAAATTGTGAGATAACAATATTTTCGAGATTTGACCTAAAAGCTTAAATTCAGTCATTTCTCAACATAAAATGATCTCAGTTCAAATCTCTGACATGAAATAAATTCCTTCTACAAAATGTTACACATGTTCTGATGTCCAAAATATTTTATTTTTGTTCATAACTGAACTGGGTTGTTAAATAGAATAATCCAGCACGGTGGAGGTTGAGCAGCAACGCACTTTACAGTTTCTAGATACTTAGGAAAACAAATAATGATGGAGAAAAGTTTCAGGAGTGAATTGTGACATAAGGGTGTCGGCAAAGGTCAAAGGAAAAGTTTACAAGACAGTGATGAGACCAGTTATATTGTATGGTCTGGAGACAGAGACATGGACAAAAAGACAGGAGACAGAACTGGAAGTGGCAGAAATGAAGATGTTGAGGTTCTCCTTAGGAGTGACAAGGATGGAGAATATTAGGAATGAGATCATCAGAGGTACAGCACAGGTTGAACAACTGGGAGATAAAGTTAGAGAGACCAGACTGAGATGGTTTGGACATGTCCAGAGGAGGGACAGTGGTTTGGACATGTCCAGAGGAGGGACAGTGGGTATATTGGTAGAAGGATGTTAGAAATGCAGCTGCCAGGAAAAAGACAGAGGAGACATATGGATGCAGTTAGAGAGGACATGGAGGAAGTTGGAGTGAGGACAGAGATGGAGGATGACTCGCTGTGGTGACCCTGAAGAGGGAAAAGCCAGAAGAAGAAGAAGATTCAGTCAAAGTTTATTAGTTTATAATAAACCGAGAAGTTTTACACTGCGTGGAACGTACAAAATACATCACTGTACATGTGAACATGTAAACACCACAGGTGCACAGTTTAATGATTGACAGGAAACACTGGCTTTCTTCAAAGCAACAATAATTTCCACTGTCAGGTTTTGAACATGCAACCTCCTCGTCTATATGAAGAAAACCACACGGTACACTGAGCGTAACATGTTTTACCACCGCCTGCTTTGTTAAAGACCGAACACCAGCGTTTATCTACAGACCATTCTCTTTCTACTTGTTCTACTAAGGCGCTTTCTATTTCTTGCAGGGTTTCTTGTGGTATAAAATACATTTTTTACAATGACCTTTTCCTCTTGACAGAAACCGAATGTTAGTGTTTGTTTCCATGTGTTTCCTCCTTTGTTATATTTCACAATACTTTGACTTCCTTTTGTTCCTGAACAGCCAAACCACTTTTAGATCGTCTCTTTTAATGCAACAAAGTCACTGCTGGGACGTAAATAAATGTCGTAATAAGTAAAAACTCCAATCCGTTAGTTTTTCTCTCATCCTTGCTGCCCTTACACCACCTCTGTGTGGGACTCTGGCTCCTTGCAAATGTTGGTCATGAGCTTGCTGCAGCTTCCTGGCCCTTCCTCCTGCAGCTGGTGCTGCGTCTTCCCTTTGGCACAGCAGCCGCAGTCCAGCAGCTCGTAGAGAACGGCCAAGGCAGCCAGGGACAGGACCGTGAGGATGAAGAGGAGCAGGATGACGAAGCAGGCTACATTCCAGCCGTCATGAAAGGGGTAGACTTCCTGGACCTGCAGCGAGACGTGGGGCAACGGGACTGCCTGGAGGTGCGATGGCAGACCACTCGGGTGTATGGTGGTGGAGACGTTGGCCATGGTGTCTGCTTGGAGACAATGACAAAAAAAATAAAGCATGAGGAAAGAGATGTTCGTTCTTACAGCTGAGAAGGATTTGTTTTACAGCAGTTGGGTCATCGTCCATCCATCCATTATTTTTACCCTCTTTTTTTTATTTTCAGGTCTTAGGAACAATTTAGAGTTACCAATCAGTCTAACATGCATGTTTTTAGTCTGTGGGAGGAAACTGGAGTACCAGGAGAAAACACACGCATGCACAGAGGGAACATGCAAACTCCACCCAGAAAGGCCCCCCCTGGTCGCAATTTGATTCAGCGACCTTCTCGCTGAGAGGCGGCAGCTCTACCAACTGAGCCACCGTACCACCCAGTTTGATCATCATGCGTTAGTGAAACGGCGACAGTAATGAAATTAAAAAGTATTTGTCAGTAGACATGTTGTCAAACCGTGCGTCTCCCTCCAGCTGTCCTTTAAACCATCGCCTGCCACTTCATTCCCACTGTGATCGGTGTGCATGCGTTCTGCACACACGCACAGGCATGTGCACGTGCTTGCTTATAACACACATGTTGAGTCAGAGGGAGGTAGCTGACCCAGTCGTGGAGCTGATCTTAACATCTAACCTGCTTTATTTATCTTTTTAATTTTACAACTTTAAAAACACATTTTTATAACTGTGGAGCGTCATTGGTGCAATCTGTATAAATACTGTATTTTTCAGACTATACTTAAAATCCTGTAATTTGATCAAAAATGAACAGTGAGCCTTATAGTCAGGTGCACATTATGCATTGATTCTAGTTGTGCTTACTGACCTCGAACTGGTTTTATGTGATTATTGTGAATGAGTTGAATAAAGTTTGACTTATCTGACTCTTTAGTTTTGCTTGGGAGAACCTGGGAGACTGCAATGAAGCCAAGATCCAACTTGTCTGCTGGATTCCTTAGATAGAGAACTTTACTAATTGGCTTTTATGTGAATGTTCCTGTAACGTGCCCTGAGACAACGTTGTTGTGATTTGGCGCTATATAAATAAACTGAATTGAATTGAATTGAATTGCTTAATGTGCCTTATAATCTGGTATGTCATGTATGAAAACAGACCTGCTCATTGATATTGTGCCTTACAGTCAGAAAAATACGGTATGTGTATTTCAGGAACTTTATAGAAACTCTTGTTGCCTGAAACCATTAGATCTTTTAAATGCAACTTCATTTTTGAATGCGAGTGCATGTTTTTACCCCCAAGTCTCTTTGCTGATTTAATCATTTGCATTGATAAGTTATAATATGATGTTTGATGCAGTGATCTTTGAATATTAGTAGGCTGGTAAAATGGGCAAATAAAAAATAAAAAAAATGATTGCAACCATGTTTTCCTTCACATGACAAGTTGTTTTCTAACAGCACTATTGCAGTCGGTGTGCCCTTTCACAACACCTAACCCCCATCCCTTTCTCAAATACAAAAACAAACAAACAAAACAAAGTCCCATCGTCTCTGCCATCGTATTTCATTTTATTTTGAAAGGATTGTAAAGTGAAAACTAGGGTTCAGGTGAGCTATACTATCTGATTACGTGTTCTTATCCACGTTAAATGATTGATGATGAATGAATCTACAGATCCCAAGCTAGCAGAACTAGCAGCGGTGCCTGTTTTTGAACCAAATTAGATAAACGCAAACCTTTATTACTTAACCTAGTTTTAAGTTGGCAATTGTTGCTGTGGAAAACACGATGCATTAAACACACAGATGTTTTAGCACACTAACAGGTCACCTAAAAACACCGTGTCACATGGCTAACTACAGTTACTGCGGGCGTCTAAATAATAAATTAGATCAGCCTGCAGGCGTCATGTTCATACAGAACATTGATATACGTTGTATTTTCCTCTCAGTTAATGTCATTTAACTTCATCTAGTCATCTCATGTCAGTGACAGCCCCCTCAGTCTCCAACAGCAGCCTCATTAATGAATGTTGCCTGACCCCTCCACATTTCCTCATCAGGGAGCGCTCCTTGTTTTCAGGCTGAGCAGTCAAATGTGATGTGCAGCATCTTTTACCTCCTCTGTACGTCGGCCCCACCCAGGCCATGATCCGTAGGTGCTGTATAACCATCAATCACATCAGACCTACTCTCCATGACCGACTCCTCGTCGGTCTCTGCTCTTCATGAATTTGTTGTGAGAGCACACTTTTCACAAACACGGGGGGGTGATGCTCGTGAACGCACGCACAGAAACAGATGATCTGACGTCTGTAATTCAAGCAGAGTGCTGACAGGCGGCTCCATGTTTATTTAATCCTGTGTGAATGTGCAGTCTTGGCCTGAGTCTCAGTTAAAATGTCAAGGCTTTAAAACACCGTTATTTGTGTCTGGAAATGTTTCCTAGTTTATAGTTTGGGTTATCTTTTTAAGAAGAGCCGGCTGCTGCGCTGAAATGTTTCATCTGTAAAGCCAAGAGCAGCCTGTGTTTCTGATTCAAGCTCTAGATGAGAGGTTGTCACAGATCCATCGTTCAGATTACTGAAAAAGATCCACACTCACCTGCACGTCTGGCTTCGTGTTTGAAAGATGCAGCCCAACAGATTTGCTCCCCTGCTTCTGCGTCCCCACCTATCTCTTGGTCCACTCCTCTTCCACATGTACGCATCGACCTGCTCTCCTCCCTGGCGCACTCACGCACTTTCTGTCATCACTCGTCCACCCGCTCCTCCTCCTCCTCCGCCACTCCTTGCTTTGCAGCTCCATGCCTCTGCTGAACAGATCAGGCTTCTCCCCCGTCATTGGCTCTCTCTTCTCACCCTCGTCTTGGTGCCATTCGCTGGTCGTCCTGTCGTGATTTCAGCACCCTGCCTACCGTGCAGCTAACAGCCACTGTAGCTCCCACCCCCAGTATGAATCATTCATGAGTCGGTGTGATTCCAGTGTTTATTGGGGAGTGTCCAGTCCCAGGTGATGGAGGGGGTCACAGAGCATGACAGACCTCAACCGGTTCATTCTAGTTGAATTCATTCAGTTTTCTTTCATGCGTGGCTTTTGGTTTACTATTTTAAAAAGGTTTTATGCAGGAATGCACCATTTTCCAGTTTGCAAATATGTTTTTAGTTCCCAGTTGTAAATAACAAGAAAACTCCTGTTTGAAATGTATATAAAGTTATACTGATTTATATACGGTATATAAATTAGAGCCCCGACCAATGTGAACATTTTTGGATATCGACAATACCGATACTTGGAGGGGCGGGCTAATGTCGATAACCGATACTGGCTGAAAGATTTTGAGCTTTGTCCAACCCCAAGAATCTAAGTAGACAGCTACGTATAAATCTGTTTTAACACTTGAAGTCTTGAAACAGTCTTCCTAACATGCGTTCACATTTTCTATCCTCCACTTCATAAAAGTTATCAAGTGTGTTGCAAAAATATACATTAAACAAAAAAACTCCCCTCTCTGTTCATTGTTTAAACAGTCACGTATGGTGAAGGTCTAATTAGTGTTGACGGCAGCAGCTTTTTTTTTCTTTGCAGAGAATAAAGATTTCAGACAAACAATGCATTTCACTGAGGACGACAAAGATCATGTTATGACACTGATAGTTTACCTCTACGTTAGATTTATTGTTCAGGATAAGGTTTTACAAGGCAATAGCCTATGCTAAGCTATATAAACGTTAGCTTGCTAACTTGAGAGGCACGTAGCAAGTTCGAGGATAAAAGAGAATTTATTATTGTTGATTTATTTGACACATCAGTTACAATAAACTTACCATGCTCTGTTCAGCAAAATACGCTACACAGTATTTAGTCGCTTTCTACTTCGAATGTGCTGTGAGTCAAGTGTGCAGCATGGCCAAGACTTAAATAGTTCACATGCACCCTCTGCTGGATATATTGTACAAGTGCACCATTTGCAAGTAAGGACACGGCTGGTCCCAGCATTTTAGGGGTGAAAATAGAAGTGTTTGTAGAGGCACATAATGGGACATGCATGTTAGGCTGGTTGGTAACTCTAAATTGTCCCTAGGTGTGAGTGAGAGAGTGAATGGTTGTTTGTCTCGTTTGTCTCTATGTGTCCCTGTGATGGACTTGCGACCTGTCCAGGGTGTACCCTGCCCCTCGCACAGTGATTGCCGGACATGGGCACCGGCGACCCCCGTGACCCAAAACGGAAGAAGCGGGTAAAGATAATGGATGGATGAGTGGATGGAACAATTATCACAAATGCTGCTATGTCTTCAATCACATGTATCGGCCCTACTGATATATTGGTCGGGCTCTTATATAAATAGAATTTGTTACACATATTTACAGATCCCAGAGAGTTTCTGGTGAAGAAATTAAAATCCCAAAATGCACCACTCTTCATTTGCTGGAAAAGTAGTTGATATGTTACATCCAAATGTTAGCTTAGCTACTATAGAAAGTGTTATACGTTTCCCGGTCCTTCAATGCACTTATACACATCTTTGGTGTAGAAGTTTTTACTCCGTGTTAAACATTAGTAATATCTCGAAGGTGTTTAAAATAATTCATTTTACTGCTCAGTGTGCTGCCACTCACATTTACTCCAGCTGTCTGTGTAAGACCTACAATTTATCATCAGGATGCAAACGTGCAGGTTTAAAAAACAAAATCTCATTTTATAGTTGTAATTTACCATACATCTAGCTACAATAAAACAAATTATTTTAACCACCACATCTAACAGAAGAGATAAATACTGCTGTCATTAATTTTAAGTGTAGATGTTTCATCCATTCCCTAACATCCACTTATTCAGACTCGTTTATCATATGCACAGAAGTAAACAACACGCTGTGAAATTCTTACTTTGCACATCTCCCAACACACAGCAACACACTTAAAAACTGTTGGAAAAAGACAAAATCCTTAAAATAACACAATGGCTACAGCGACAATGGACGTTAGTGTGACGACAAACAATACGTGAAAAAGACTGAGTGCCATGGAAACATGCACATTCTTGTTTACTGGTGGTTGGAGGAGTTGGAGTGCAGTGGCTGTAGAGTTTATGATGTGGATGTCTTGTGGGTAAAAACTCTGAAAGTCTGGCTTCACACTTCTGTAGCATCTCCCCCTGACGGCAGAAGTGTCTGCAGTCAGGTCTCGAGGTATCCACGACCTCATTCTTTCTGTCACTACCCAGAGCTCATGACCATAGCTGAGGGTAGGAACGTAGACCAACCAGTAATTTAAAAATCTTATTTAAACTTAAACGTTGTAAAATATTTTTTAATAAGTAATGTGATGTGTTGTCTTTGTTTTGAGACATTTGAAATTGAACAAAAGACGAACTGCTGGAGGTAAAATCTGTTTAACTGTACTCTGACAGATCCTTCTGTCTGGGAACCTGGAGGATACAATTTGCACATTTCCAGTGTCAGAAGGAGAACGATCAATATCTTGGGCCTCGTTTAGAGAAAGTGCTGCTGTTCAAACATCGTTTTATGAACCCAGCCAAGCATTTATCTGAACTGGAAATGAAAAATATTATAAGTGTTCTGTTTAAACCTGAAAACATTTGACCTCTTCTGTGTAAATCATGAACGACTGAGTTAAAGTGTGTTTAAGAACTGTTATTAAATGTAAGAAATTGTTAAATGGGATGTAAAAACAAGAGTCTGGTATTGAGTTTTATGTAAATAAAAATATGGCAACAGAAATTATTTTCTCTTACAAGCTGTCATAAAAACCCACGTCCACTTAAACTTATTTTTAAAAGATAAATGGTTGTTCTCGCAGCCGTTTGTCAGATTTAAATCTTGTTCTAGTTTTAAATTTAGACGTTTCTCTTCTTTTCTCCACAGAATCCAGCAATGGAAACTTCAACATTAAGGCGAGCTCTGGGTACAAGTTTGGCTGCCTGGCTAAGATCGTCAACTACATGAAGGTGAGCTTCCAGAGACATCTTCATGAGGTGCATTCGAATCTGTTTTGTGTGTTAGATGTTGAAACTGGATTAGGAGACTCACAGGACCATCGTCAGATTGTCGTCTTGGTCAGCGCTTCATAAAAACTTGATTTGTTTAGTGTTGAGTCAGTAAGGCTCTATCAGCTCATCCTGCTGAGCTGAACTCACACCACTCAACAGATTTCTATGAATGTGTGCATTTGCTGAAAACAGTTTTAAATTCTGTAAAATATCCTAAAAGTTACATTTCATGTCCTAAATTAATGACTAAAATCTTGTCCGTGACTCCAAACTGAGACATCTATGGAATGAAGTCGTCAGTGGGCTGTGAGTTTAGTTTCCGTTAATCGAGTGCGTTTGTTTTGTCTCAGACGAGGCATCAGAATGGAGACACGCACTTCCTGACCCTGGATGAGATTCTGGATGAGACCAAACTTCTAGACATCAGTATGAAACAGAAACAGTGGCTCATGACTGAGGTGTGTGCTTCATTTTCAGGCTCAAACTGGACTTTTTTTCATCCACTCTCTTTGCTTTCACCATTTTATTGAACTCCTAAAATGTATACATTGATTTTGTTTTTCAATCCTAAATATAATCAAAGAGGCGTTTTATTTTTAGTTGGCCTCTAATGACCCAAACTTATGTTTCTCAACACGTTCTGAAGTTTTTGTTTTCCATCTAATCCTTGATTTTGACCATTAAAAAACAAAGAGTTTCTTAAACCCTTTAACTTGTTGAGTCATTCATGGCAGCACAAATAACATGACAAACTTTAGCCATTACCTGTGAAATTGTCTTGAGTGTGAGACAGTTTTGGTGAACATGCTTGGTTACTGGTCATCCTAAGAGTTGATTCCAAAACTGAATCGACTGCATTTAATGATTTTCATGAAATATGTTCAATGGGTCATGAAAGTTTGCTCATGCAACACAACCAGAAGCAAAAGCATCTTTTACTTTCCAGCAGCAGACTAGAAAACTACTGAACAAAAAAGTTACCGTATTTTCCACCGTAAACGTCTCACCTCCCTACAAGTTGCATCAGTTCAAATATGTCTAATAAAGTGGAAAAAACATAAATACGTCGTATCTATTATGCGTCACCGCTGACAACCTGGAAATGTGGGCCGGTGTTGTGCCAAAATGTCAATTGGCTGCCAAATGGAGGCCGCGGGAGCGTGCACGGGAGGACTTTTAACAAGAATTTAACAAGATTAACACTTGAAAACAATTATTTGTTTGCTCTAAAATTATAGCAAAGCTGTGTCTCAGTCTAACTTTTGCTTAATAAAAGAACTTCGATGATCAAATCAGCTGCAGTTCAAAAGCCGATATGCGGAAGTAGGAACGAGCAGAGGGTCGAGTCGCTGTGCATTTCTTGGAAATTTAACAAGATAACCACCTAAAAACAATTATTTGTTTGCTCAGCTTTATCGTAAAGCTGTGTGTCAGTTGAACTTTTATTTAATAAATGCATTTCAATGGTCAAATCAGCTGCATTTCGCCTGGGCAGCGCAGTGAAATGAAGCTGATTGGACGTTTGCTCCAGGCAGCGAGCAGAACCAAGGTGGCAGTGTATGGCAAGCTGATTGCGTCATTAATAGCCACTTTTACCTATTACCTGATACAACGGCATGCCATACCATTCGTGTGCCATCTAGCAGCTGAAAATGGTAGTGTTCAATATTTTCAGGTAGAATGAATGAAAACGCTCATGAGAAATTAGAATTGGTTTATAGATATGGGATAAAATCCATAAATAAGTTGCTTCGGCGTATAAATCACAGGGTATGCAAATCATGCAAAAAACGCAACTTACTGTGTAGGGTGAAAAATACGTTACTCATTTTCTTCTTTTCAATAAATTTTCATTTGAATGGTGTTTAATGTTGTCCAGTTTTTATACGCCTGTCGAAGGTATTATTCTACACGCGTCCGTACACTTTCTCTTGTCCCACCCGTAACCTCTGATCAGCTCTAGACAATTTAATGAAACTTGATACACACATGCATCGTCACATATACTCCCCCCCCCCCCCCCGCAGCTTCAAGGTCACAACTCAAGGTCAAAGTTTAAATGTGGTCTTTGCCTGTTCAGGCCATTGCTCTGGACTGCAGCAGAATAGTTTGTCAGCGGGTGTAGAATGTGCTGCACGCAGTACATTTGTTGTTGAATGACATGAATGTGTTTATCTGTACTTCACTAATCTCAGGCCTTGATCAGCAACGCAAAGATTGATGTTCGCGACGGGACTTACGGCTTCAAGCCCAAGTACAACCTGAAGGATAAGAAGGCCTTACTGAGGCTGCTGGACAAACACGACCAGCTGGGGCTGGGGGGGGTGCTGCTGGAGGACGTGGAGGAGGGGCTCCCCAATGCAGCCAAGGCCATCAAGGTAACGCATCGCAAAACATCTGGACTAAAAACAAGAACCGTTCCATCCGTGACCCCAGACATGACCTCGTGTGATTGTTCACAGGCTTTGGGCGATCAGATCATCTTCGTCACGAGACCAGACAAGAAAAAGATCCTGTTCTACAACGACAAGCACTGTCAGTTTGTGGTCGATGAAGGTGAGAACGACTGAACACTCTAAATAACAGCTGCTGTCACTCAAAGTCAGAGGGTGGAAAAGAGAGTTGCTTTGGTACTGATTTAGATGACCGTGAACAGGAATGCGTTGTAAATTAACCAGATTTGCTGAATTGTTTCGGGTCCGTTTCCCTTTGAAATAACTCTAAGCAGTGTTTGAGTTCAGTTCCACCCAGAGCTCAACACTGAACTCTGTGTTTGCTCATCTTATATGATGAACTCTTTTCTGACGGCGGCTCTGGGTTGACACTTTTCTTTCTACTGTAGAGTTTCAGAAGCTGTGGAGGAGTGTTCCAGTGGACTCCATAGACGAAGAGAAAATCGAAGAGTACCTAAAGAAACAAGGCATCTCCTCCATGCAAGAAACGGGACCAAAGAAAAAGGTCAGCATCCTTCCTTTCCAAGAACTTTAAATGAATAATGTTTTTGTTTACGACAAATACCGTAATTTCTGAACTATAAGCCGCTACTTTTTTCACATGCTTTGAACACTGCAGCTAATTTATGGATTTTTATGGACTAACGAGCTTCATGCTGCCAAAACATTTAGCCTCGTCACACCCGGGTGCTCACAGAGCTGCCCCATACACATCTCTTTTGGGGGGGGGGGGGTCCTCGTGACTCAGTGAGACTACCTGTATAAATAAAGGTTAAAAAAAAATAATAATAAATATCAGAGCAATAAAATTATCTAACATGTCACAGTGGACCAATGAAAGGTTGAATTAAATCAAACGCACTCAATTCTTCACATCAGTTATTTTGTGCTTCTTGCACACCCCCATCATGGAAACACATGAAGACATGCAGATGCTGCAGCTTTCAAGTTAAAGGCGATCGATCTGGCCGTCGTAGAAATGGACTGAGCTGTACGAGACGGCAGCGTGAACAGCTGACTCGGTGCAAAAAGACGACAAACGAAAAGCAGATGGGCCGAACTTGAAAAGGTTCTTGAAGACTGTGCGAACACAGAGAGCAGACGGCCGAGGTGTTTCCACCGTGCAGATCCCACTGAGCCAAAACAATCACCACCGAAAACAAGATTCAAGATTTTAGAGGGGTTTTTTTTAAACCAGTTACAGGCATCGTTCAGAAAAAAGAAGTGTATTGTGTAAACATGTCATGCTACAACATGGACACCTGCAGCTTGTAGACGAGCGTGGCCGATATGTACAGATTTGTTTTCCCTTTTCTTTTTAATGGTGGGTGCAGCTTATATTCAGGTGTGCTCGATAGTCTGGAAATTATGGTAGTCTGCTAAACTTTGTTCTTTATCTGGTCTAATTCTGTTTCTGTGCTTGGTGCAGTTGCCAGTTCAAAAAAGAAAGAAGCAGGCTGGGCAGAGGAAGAGACAGTTCAAGACCCACAACAACCATCTGGCAGGAGTGCTGGAGGACTACTCAGACGGTGTGCCTGGAAAGAAGTGACAGCAGCTGTCTGGAACCTGAACCTCCGACGTGGGAGTCCCTGCTCACACGAAAACAGACTTATTGTGGCTGTTGTGTCGAAACAATCCGGCTTTTTTTCTCCACATTCCCTCCAGTGGTCTTTCATTACACGAATCCAACAGCGACTGTGTTGGGGAATCTGTTTCAAATATATCGATCTGCAAGAGCCGAGTGCTCTGGAGGAAGACGACCGAGACGTTTATCGAGGCTGAAGACTCGAAAAAAACCACAACCATAACTGCTAAAACGAACGCAGACCGAGAACCGAAACGTCAAACATTTTATTTATTTTGTAGCAAAAAGGTGTTCAGGAGGTTTAATGTGGGTGAGAAGCATCCTGATTTTATTTTAAAGCAGATTTGAGGTGAACTGTACGACTCGTCGCTCAGCATGAAACGTCTTTACTCATCGTGGAGCTGGAGAATATTGCTTTTACTTTGCAGCAATGTGATATATTGATTTGAAATATTAGGCTTTTTGAAGTTATTTTAATAAATTACATGGGTACATAATGCTGCCTCAAGTGTCTTAGTCCATACGTCATGTAGACGTTAGCATTTTACATTAAATTATTTAATTTCTGTAGAAAATGCCTCAACACAGCAGTGTGCAAGAAGAAACACTTCATCTCTTATAGATAAAAAATAACAGGCCAAGTACTTTATAAACGTGTACATTTATGCTATATCACGTCACAATAATTAAACCTAAAGTTGCAGAGGTAAAAATTTAACTTAGGATGTGCAATGATCCATTTTAACTGGTGGTGTGGCTTGCTTTAATGGTCTTCTTCATGTGGTGGTAGTTGGGCAAAATCTTCATGAGAAAGTCGAGCTGCAGAGTCTGAGGCTGAAATGACAAAACAAACACGTTAATGACATAAACACATGGATGTCTACACAAATGTGACTCTTGCGCCAACTTAAAACATCTGGAATGTTATTTTGTTTGTCTTAGCTGCTTCAGAAAGGAAACTAAAAATATATTATTAAATGAACAGCATCTTAGAATGAGCCGTTAGTTTGATGAACTGGTCAAATAGTTTTTGAGTTTTAGACGGGACTGTCGGGCTTCACAGTACACTGTGTAAAGGTTCAACTGAAACTATTATATCGGAGCATGTGGTCGCTTTTTAAACACCATTAATGTATTTTTGTCCCCGAAATGGGATTTAGTGACATCTAGTGGTGAATTTACAGACTGCATGCAATCAATATTTTCATTACAACAAACATGTGGAGGAGAAAGTACAGCGGTGCTGAGAAGATGTGAAGATGGGACTCTGGCAACAATTTGAAGGATGAAATGTGCCCCTTCATAACAAACGGTTCAATCATCAGTTTGACACTAGTTATTGCCTGCTGGGAAGAGGAAGATGATTTTAGAGATCTGTTTGAAAAGCTGAGATGGTTAGTATGGTTCCCATCACTGGTAGTATGGTGCGGTTACACTACTACAGCCATCTAAACTATAATATTGTTTAAGAAATGTTTAATTTGTTTTGCATGTAGTACCTTTTTTCGACCACCGGGTGGCAATATCAGACTGAACCGAAGGAGTGATGGTGAGGGAGCAAGCAGCGTCTCTAAGAAAAACGGGAGGGAGGCCCCTTGACGTGACATGGGCTGTCTCTCCTATTTTTCAGTTCTCAAAATGGCGGATGCTCGGTGTGGTTTGAACTCTTTAGCATAGCATTTTTCACACAAAGCTATTAATTTAAAAAAAATCAGTAAACAAGTTCTCAGCTTCTTTTTGCAGAAAAAACAACTTTTTACACGAAGGCACAGGTTTCAACCGTGAATTTTGGAGTTTCGACAAGATGAAGGTTTTTTCCATGAGGTTGGCCTGTTAGCTCGTAACTTAGCTTCTCAGTTTAGCTGCTTTTAACCGTCCAAAAATGCAATTTTGGACGGTTAAAACTGATTTTAAAGAGAAAGGGAGGGGTCAGTGAAGAGCGCCGGAGTTGAGCTTTTTGTCATCGAGTGTCTTCAGTAGAAAGAGAGACACAAAGAAACGATAGTCGAATGAAAATGAGGTCGATAATTTTCATTTATGCGATTTATTGTTTATCGCGACAGGCCTAGTTGGATGTTCATGTACAAATCCTTAACTTTTGGAGTCGACCTCAACATGGTTGCCACAGCTAGTCATCTATCACACAAATGATTATAACTCAGCCACATTTACAGATGAGCTCAAATCTGATGTGGTGGCTGAGAGTCGTACTCATCACGTACTGAACATGTTAAACACACAAGACTGTGCAATATAGGATGATTGGAGGTAGTAACATTTACTACTGTACATTCAACCTGAACAGCAACGTCTCCGTCTCTTATCACCACAAGGTAATTTTAGTTTAAATATCTGCCATGAAATGAGACGTGCATTCATCCCTTCAAGGATTAAATGACACATTTCATTATTATGCATTTATTTAGTTAATTTTGTCACATTCCGTCCTCCACATGCTACTTTGTTTAAAGCATGTTAACCATTTCCACCCCTCCACCTCCTGAAATGGTACAAGAGGAACTAGAAACAGCACTTCACTAAACTCATCAGACTGGATTACATTTTATATTAAAACCATCACATTTTAGTCAAATGTTCAATAAACTTTTTTATTGTTGGACTTGTCCCCTGTGGAAATGGGTCAGTGTAAAAGCTCGGATCACATGCTTGGTGTCTAAAAGGCTCAAAGTAACACTTTATGTAACTCTTGCATGAAACAGTTGAGATAACAAGCTCTAAAACAAAGTTTCCAGTGAAGTACCATCGTTTTTTTACCTCCTCTCTTCAGATCGTGGGGGAGCTGGTGTCTATCTACAGCAATTACTGTGCAAAGGGGGGGGGGGGGGGGGGGACACCCTGGACAGGTCATAGGTCCATCACCGGGACACAGAGACAACTATTCACACCTAGGGACTTGCTAATTAACCTAACATGCATGGTTTTGGTCTGTGGGAGGAAACGAGTACCTGCAGAAAACCCACCAGCCACAAGAAGATATAAACTCCACACAGAAAGACAGGGAGGAGAACCTGCGACCTTCCTGCTGTGAGGCAACAGCTCTAACCACTGCTGCACCGTGGACCCTACTGTCCAAACACAACCTCAACATGAACTGTTAATCATCTCAAAATGTTCTTGAATGTGTATCGTACCTGCGGTCTCTCTGTCTGCACCCTCCTCATACATCCAGAACCGTAGATGACCGTGTTCTCAGGTATGACCTCGCAGGTGTTGACCTGGCAGAAGGCTCCGATGATACAGCCGCTGGTCAGGATCACGTTCCTGCCAACGTCAGCTGGACCAAGAAAGTAAATCCAGTCAGCGACTGTACGACCACTGAACTCTGCTAACGTGCTCATGCTCACCTTTAGATTCAATCACATTGTTGTCCCCAATTTTAAGGGCCTGTGACACTGGGTGTTAGTTAAGGTTAAAGAGGATTCTGACTTAATAATCAGTTTTATAAACAAGGCGCAGCTAGTCGAAAGGATACCACAGCCGACCTCGAACACGTTGTTCGTACCGATGGTCATGGTCTTTGGTTCCACCTCAGAGTCTGGTGTGATGTTCTCTGGGTAACTGCAACAAAGAATAAACAAAACATAAAGGCTTGGAGCTAATCTTGCAGAAGACTGCGTGCACGTGGGTTAGAAGCAGGCATTCTTCAACCTGTTGATGATGAGAGCCTGCTCTTCTATCAGGTTGCCTTCTCCAATCACTATGGGTCCTGCCTCTGCGATGATCCGAGCTTTGGGGTGGACGACTGTTCTGGGGCCTGAAGAAAACAGAGCAACAGCAAGAAGTGAAGGTTTTATCATTTCAGAACGGTCAGAGAACCAAGCGAAACATCTTACCAATGGAAACATCTCCTCTGATTTCGCTTTCAACACAAACTACAGCTCCAGCCGCTATCCTGACGCTGCAAGGAAGACAGACGGAACAGAACACCATGCTATTAGCTCGGGCAGCTAGCTGAGCTACTGCTCAAAAACGTCCGAAAGAGCAGTATGGTTACTTCTATGACATCATTTCTTTGTTGTCTTAAAGGAGTTCGACATTCGGATTATATTCGTTTTACCTTTTCTGTGCATTTAATTTGTCAGCCATTGCGAGTTTTGACTATCCGTTTGGGAGGTTCCGTCATCGATTCATTCGGTACTCGATTAGAAAGCCTTGTTGTTTTCACATGTGCGCATGCGCCAATCAGCAACCCGCCGGTCTCTTGTGAAAACAAATGAGTGGTAATAAACATGTCTAATATCTGCCAGACATGGCCAGGAATGTATACTAATATAAGCTAAACATTTTAATTTGGGCTTCAGCATAGCAACTGCTGTTTCTATCCTCTGCTCCATGACTGGACTCATGATGGATGCGACAGATGTGGCCTTTATTAGTAGCTAAAGTGGCAAAATGCTTGCTAAAAATGAGCTAAAAGGCTACAAAACAGTAACTGCTAAAAGTAGCTAAACATTGATTTAAAACATTATTTAGCTAAAAGTATAAAAATAGTGGCTCAAAATATCAAAGTCTAACTAAAATAGATGAAGAGTCAGAGTCAGAAACACAAAGTTTGTTTTCTCAGTCATCCAGGTATATAACAACAAAAAAGGTTGAATCATG